TGAAGCCAGCATTACCCTAATACCAAAACCAGATAAAGACAACAAAATGAAAGAGAATTACAGGCCAATATTCCTCATGAACATAGATGCCAAAATCCTCAACAAAATTCTAGCATATCCAATTTTTTTACATCAGAAAGTTCATACACCATTACCAAGTAGGATTTATCCCAGGAATGCAAGGATGGTACAATATCTGCAAATCAATAAATGTGATATATCACACAAACAAATAGAGAGATAGAAATCACATAGACATATCAGTTGATGCATAAAAAGCATTTAATAAAATCCTACACCCTTTGTTGATAAAAATTCTCAGCAAGGTAGGAATACAAGGATCATACCTCAACATAATAAAAGCTATATATGATAAACCCACAGCTAACATTATACTCAATGGGCAAAAACTAAAACCATTTCCCCTAAAAATAGGAACAAGACAGGGATGCCCACTCTCACCACTCCTGTTTGACATAGTACTGGAAGTACTAGACATTGTGATCAGAAAACAAGAAAAAATAAATGGCATCCAAATTGAAAAAGAAGAAGTGAAACTGTCCTTATTTGCAAATGACAAGATATTGTACATAAAAAATATGAAAGAGTCCATCAAAAAACTAATCGATTTAATAAATGAATTTGGCAATGTAGCAGGATACAAAATTAATGTCAATAAATCTATGGCATTTCTATAGTGAATTTACAGAAAGAGAGACTAAAAAAGCAATCCCATTTACCATCATACCAAAGAAATTAAGATACCTAGAAATAAACTTAACTAAGGAGGTAAAAAAAACCTATACGTGGAAAACGACAACACATTGATAAAAAGAAAGAAAGACATAAACCGATGGAAGAACATACAATGTTCATAGATTGGGAGAATCAACATCATTAAAATATCCATACTACCCAAAGCAGTCTATAGTGTCAATGTACTCCCCATTAAAATACCAAAGACATATTTCACAGACCTAGAAAGAACTCTCAAAAATTCATCTGGAATAAAAAAAGACACCGAATAGCCACAGCAATCCTAAGAAATCAGAATAAAGTAGGAAGATTCCAAATACCAGATTTCAAGCTGTATTACAAAGTCACTGTTCTCAAAACAGCCTGGTACTAGCACAAGAACAGACATATAGACCAAGGAATAGAATAGACAATCCAAATATCGACCCAAACCACTATGCTCAATTAATATTTGACAAAGGAGACATGAATATACAATGGAGTCAAGACAGTCTCTTCAATAAATGATGTGGAAAAATTGGACAGATACATGCAAAAAAAAAATGAAATTAGATTACCAACTTACACCATTCACAAAAAAATAAACTCAAAATAGATACAGGACTTAAACATAAGATGAGAAATCATAAAAATACTGGAGGAATCCACAGGCAGCAAAATCTCAGACATATTCTGAAAGAACTTTTTCACTAATACTGCTCCTAGGGCAATGGAAGCTAAAGAGAAATAAACAAATGGGACTACATCAAAATAAAAAGCTTTTTCACAACAAAAGAAACCATCAGCAAAACAAGAAAGCCCACTGTATGGGAGAACATATTTGCAAATGTTATCACTGATAAAAGTTTAATCTCCAACATCTACAGGCAACTTATACTACTTAATAAAAGGAAGATAAATGATCAATAAAAAAAATGGGCAACAGACCTAAGTAGAATCCTTTTGAAAGAAGACAGAAGGAAGGCCAAGAGACACATGAAAACATGCTCAAAGTCACTAATTATCCGAGAGATGCAAATCAAAATGACAATGCGGTACCATCTCACACCTGTCAGAATGGCTATCATCAACAAACCAACAAAAAACAAGTGTTGGCAAAGATGTGGAGAAAAAGGAGCCCTCGTACACTGCTGGTGGGAATGCAAACTGGTGCAGTCACTTTGGAGAATAGTATGGAGTTTCCTCAAGAAACTAAAAATGGAACTCTCATTTGACTCAGTAATCCCACTCCTCGGAATATATCCTAAGAAACTAGAAACACCAATCAGAAAGGATATATGCACCCCTATGTTCATAGCAGCACAATTCACCCTAGCTAAGATTTGGAAACAGTGTAGGTGCCCATTAGCAGATGACTGGATCAGAAAACTATGGTACATCTACATAATGGAATACTAAGCTGACATACAAAAGAAGGAATTTTTATCATTTGCAGTTACCTGGATGGAACTGGAGAACAACATGCTAAGTGAAATAAACCAGTCAATGAAAGAAAAACACCACATGATCTCACTCATTTATGGATAATAAAGAACATTATAAACTGATGAACAAAAAGATACAGAGGCAATAAAGCATCAGACTGTCAAATTACAGTGGGAAGGTTAGGGAGAAGTGGGGGAGATAAGAGATCAACCGAAGAACTTGTATGCATGCATATAAGCATAACCAATGGACACAAAACACTGGGGAGCAGGGGAAGTGAGGACATGTATGGGAGTGGGGGGGGAGCAATGGTAAGATATGTACACATATAATACCTTAATTTAAAAATGGGAAAAAAGAGAGAAATGAAAAAAAAAAAAAGATAACCTTTAAAAAAAAAAAAAAGAAAGAAACATTCAAACCTGTGAAGAATTTTTGTGAGTTTATTTGAGTCAAACTGTCAATAATTGTCTGGAAGCAGAATCTCAACATACTGGGACAATGCTCTGGAGAATGGCAGTTTTTCACCTTGTTTTATACATTTCAATCAAAGGAGGAGAGGTAGGTGGGTTATAAGAAATCCACTGGTGATAGATTAGACAGGCGAGAGAAAGCAAAGCAGGGAAACCTCTGAGATTGGATAAAAAGTAAAATGATAGGCAGGTACCTCTTTTGCTTAGGTGGGTGCAGGATAGTTTAACAGTCACCAATGAAGTCAATAGCAATGAGGGGATGTGTGGTCTCCACTGAGCAGTGCAGAAATCGGGACATTACTTTCACATTCCAAAATGTTATCGCAGATGCAAAGACAATAGGCTCAGTTAAGGTTAAGGTGATCTTGTCTGGGAAGATGCCGGTCTAGGACATGACTACCCACCATCACTGCTTTTAGTTAAAGTTTTCCTTCAGACCATCCTCTGTGGTCACTGCAGGTCTCTGAGTGTGTAAGGCGGCCCTGCAGGCCCCCCTGAGCGGGTGAGGTTTGGTGTGTGGTCCCTCTCGTCCACACCTCCTCAGGATGTTCACCTGCCAGAGTAGGATCTGGTTGTGTCCATGAAAACTGGCATCATTTCCTGGGCATACATTTTCCTACGTGGTTTATTTAAAATCTACTTGCTTAACATATCATTATGTTAAAAATTGGGTCTACATAAAGATTAACAACTAATATTGGAACAACTGTAACAATATAGGGTAACAACAGTCACGTGAATGTGAAAAATGGGGTCTGTGGCTGTGGGTAGCGTGGAGCTTGCTGGGGCTCGATTTCCTTTCTCTTACCCACACTCTCACACGTGGACGGCTCCTGAGCACGTCCTGCATGGGCAGCGGTGAGGCCAGACGCTCCCACGTGGGCAGGAGAAGCGTTTTGGTGCTTGCCTTCCACCCTGGAATGGGTTTCCATCTCTTCAGCCTGATGACTCACAGGGACGCCCCATCTGAAGGGACCAGGCCCAGTGCTGCCCAGCATCCTCCATCTCCATCAGCAGCCGGTGGCCCTTGGCCCTCACAGTCTCGATGGACGTTTACCAGACAATAGTGACCACAGTGACAGCTGGACACGTGACAGAGCACAGACCACTTGGAATTTAATATGAGGCCGCTCTGGATTGGCTGAGGACAGCCTCTTCTATTAGAGCAGCTGCGGACCACGGTGAGGGCAATGCCCACGGGGCGGAGTGTGCTACTGTGGGGAGCCCAGCCAGGAGCACGCAGGTGCCAGCCTGCACTTCAGGCACTCGAGAGGAACTTGCCGATGCAGTTGGGGTGGCTTCTTTTTCACAGAGACCTCCTCCTCCCCATAAGCACATGAGTAGCACAGGAAAGCAGCCCTGCAAGTGAGGAAGAAGCCAATACACCTCTGAGAGCGGGGATGCAGACTGGCCTGTGCATCACCAGAACACACGGCTGTTTGCACCTGGATGGCGATCCGAGAGCCAGCACACGCTCCCTGGGCATCCTGCACGGCACCCCAGAACAACAGCTGCAAAGTCTCATCTTCTAGGAGTGATGGCAGCTACGTGGCACCACGTCACACATTTATAAGAACTAGTTGTATATTAAGTTTGACTGCTTATCATTTTAACTTTAAACCTACATACACTGAGCGTAATTTGCATGTATCGATACTTAAAACTCGTTATTTCTTCTATATTATAGAGGCAATGCTTTTCCTTCCCGTACTTTTTCATAATGGCTTTTCTGGGAAATTCAATATGTTGAAGTGTTAAAGAGAAACAAATCTCATCTTAATCCCATATTTAAAGATGAAGAGCATCTTCCAGCACCTACGGAAACATCCCCCTTCACCTTTGTAAAGTGAATATTAACCTAAATAGATGCTAACTCGCTCCTTCCCCAGCCTGCTAGGCCAGTCTGGTCCCTCCTGGCCAGGCAGCGTGCACCTCTGGTTCTACAGGGGCAGGACTACAATTTAAAAGCAAATAGCCCTCCAGGCACCGGCTGGAACAGTGAGCTGTGACGGAGCCTGTGAGAGTCAAAGGCAGCTCATCCGCATGCTCACACACACATCGGAGTAAATCCAGAAGAGCACTGTGACACCTTCCAGCTGAACGCTGGGGGCAACCGCGGGCTACAAGGAGAGCCTCCCGTCTCACCGCATGGACGCTTCCTCAGACAGGACTCCAGGCGCGTGCGAGAGGAGGCTTTGTTGATACAAACGCACTGCGAGGAAGACCACGATGGCAGTGCCGAACTCAGCTGGAGGGCAATCGGGACGCACTCCACATACCACTGACAGAAGGGCCAGGTCAGCCTACCAGGCAAGGAAATTAACAACACTGACTTACCAGACTGACTTCACTCTAGAAAATATTATTTTTATTTATTTTTTGCAAAATCAGCTTTCAAATATAAGGTTATTTTAAAATAATTCTTTGGTTGCAGTATTATTCAAACAAAAAGTAGAACCTGCTGGAAGCCCTGCACTACAGGGTGAAAATACCTCCCTCTTTCAGCCACAGTGGCTATTTAATCAGCCATCAGACTCTATGAATCCGGATGTCATGGAAACACATATCAGGAACTGCAGGCTGGGGTGAAGCTGTGAGGCCCTGGCTACCAACTATCAGGAAATGAAACTCAGCTTCTGCATTAAATCACTCCAGCCCACCAGGAGAGATGTAGCTTTTAAGTCACGGAAACCAAGAGCCACTCATGCATGATCCTGGGGTGTTACTAGAGCAAAATGCTGCAGACTTTCAAGCCTAGATCAAATCCTTTAGTTGATTCACCTTTTTGTCTCCAGTAACTTTCTACACGAAAAGAAACGATTCCTTCTGCAAGAGCCATTGGGTTTTGTTCTGCATTCCCTCTCCCTTCTTCTCCTGGACCCAATCCCCTCCATCAACATTTGTTCTTAAGGAGCATGAGCTGAGATAAAAAAATAACCAGCCTGCACTTCAGGTTGTAATATTAACCCAGAATTTTGGGATGAATATGAAATCATGTTTCTTTTAATACACACACATTCAACATGATTTCCAAAGAATTTCTCAATTGGAGTTTAAGTTTGGTTGCTTAAATAGATAAGTATGAAAAAAGAATTCAATGTGAATTCAGATTTTCAGGCCGTTTTGAAAAGCAATCTGGATAATTAAAGCAGAGGAATGAACTCTTTGTTTACACAGTGTTTCCCACCTGAATTATTCAGAAAATGATTCCAGTCTCTCCCCCCTTTTGCTCAAGGCTCTGTGCACACTGGTCCAGGGGCAACGGATTGCAGTGCATCCTGGGACTAATGCCACCAGAGGGCAGGGGAGGAGAGCCCGTTTGGAGCGTGGTTCTGTGTGGGTGCGGACACAGCCAGAACGTGCTGCCATTGTCCAGGAATCCGCACGGCGGAGTTCAGGCGCTGTCCTGGGCACTGAGGCCATGGCGATGTGTGCGGCGCTTAACGCACAACGTGCCAGCAAGTCTAACCGAGCAGTGGCTCAGGACCTCATGGATAAAGGAATGCGTGGCTGGCCAATGCAGCTCCATGGCTAAGTGTCAACCGGGCACCAAGAGGCCAGCGGTTCCATTTGATTCCTGGTCAGGGCACATGCCCGGGTTGTGGGCTCCATCCCCAGTAGGGGGCATACTAGGGGTGGGTGCTGGGGGCAGCAGTTCCATGTTGATGTTTCTCTCATTGATATTTTTTCTCTCTCTCTCTCCCTTTATCTCTCTAAAATCAATAAAAGCATATTTTAAAAAAAGAAAAACGAATGGCAGCTATCCTAGAGCCAGGATAAAAAAATAACCCTTTAGTGAGTATGTCACCACTTGAAGATTAAAACATTCATATTAACCACTGGGGTCAGCATAGAGTGACTTTCATATTCAGAAGCTGTTTGCACAATGCTAGAACACAAGATTTGCTTCTTAAAATGTAAAATTCATGACACATTTCTTTAAGTGACTGTAAAACCCCTCTCTAATCCTCCGGCCGATCAGCACACATTCCCTCTTTGTTTCCAGGACCATCAAATTCCCGGGTCAAACGGCTCATGGACCTGTTTTATACACCAGGGGTCATGCACCTGGGCTGGGGAGCGTCCTCAGTGCTGCAGGAGCTACTGATTCGGTTTGCACTGACGTCCCTTTGGGTAGCTCCCATCCTCTCACAGTGAGCTGCACCCACCTGGCCACCGTCTGCTGCCCGCAGCCCTCAGCGAGCCACACAACTGAACAGACTCTGATAACTGATGTTTTGGCTTGATTGTCTTTTTTTTTTTTCTCTCTCTCTTTTTTGTAAACTCCCTCTAAATCCAGCAAGTCTGAAGCGAAGCCACAAGATGTGGTTCTCCTAACTGCATCTAAGTAGCCCAGTCTACATATTTAAAATTATCCTAGAAAAGCAAACAAAAATGACAGCTCAGGTAGCAGTGCAAGCATAACTGGCACCACTTAAACTAGGTCCCTGACTTGGTTTGCACATCCCTCGTGTGGCTGGTGCCTCTCAGCTGGCCTCGTATGACTGACGTGGACTGCATCTGAGTGATGACACCCTGCCCGTGGGCATATTGCACAAGAATGAGCTTTTTCTCACTCAAATCATGTCTGTCACACACAGCCTTCTAGAGCGCCAGCCTCCTCCACAGACTCAGGGGCCAAGGAGGAGCAGCTCGGCGATCAGAAGCGCTGGGCTCCTCGGTGGCAACACGGATCAGTCAGCCACTTCGTGGTTTTCAGTTCTTTGTTCCTACAACTGACTACTTCACACCTTATCTTATTCCTCCTGAGTGTCCACAAGTGCTTCAAGAGAGCAAAAGTGCTTTGCCTGCCCTTTCACCGAGCGTGGCCGGGTCCCTGCCACCCTCTGGGCAGCGTGGGAGCTGGCGGCCCTGGTGGCCATCTCGACGGCAGAGGTCGGAGTGTAAGCTCAGAACAGCTCTTTGCAGGGCCCGTCTGCTGATAACCTGAGAAGCCTTCAGCGTGGCGCTGCCTCCCGGGAACATGGGGTTAAGAGGACCTCCCTCCACCACACGGGCAGCTCAGGTCCCTCCAGCTGGGTGCTGGATGTGCCCCCTCCTCCGGCCCCCTCCATGGCCGGCTCCTCCCCCCGGGAGCCTGGGGGGGGCGGTGGTCTGGGCCATGGAGAAAGGAAGGCTACAGCCTCTGCAGTAGCAGGTGCCTCGACGGAGGAAGACAAGCCCCGAAAGCCTTGCTAACCAAAAAGGAGTCCAGAGAGAATGAGCTTTATGTCTCAGCCAAGTTTTTTCCTATGCACAGTCTCCGTCACGGGCATTTTAAAGCATGAAAGGGAGTGGGCTAAGTTATTCTGCGCTGTTGCTGATAGCGTGGTGCAGACTTCTTCACTGTTACTAAACACACAGACAATACGCCTCCCCAGGGCTTTCCAAAGTCTGTTTCCTTCCGCAGTTGTGGCTCATTCTTGTAGCAAGGTCTCTCTCCAGTTGAAGCCCCCAGTGGGTCCATGGGTGAGAGGAAGGATGGGTGGATCCCTCAGCTGCCAGATTCCAGTTTCTCCCAGTTCTTCACAGGAGCAAAACCCCAAGTACGGAATCTGAAGGAAGAGTATAAAGAACAGGAAATTAATGCTGCAACTTTTACCTAAACAGAGTACCTCAGGTGGCCCTTGAAATAAATATTCAGAGGAATTAATGGGGGCTTTGTAGACAAGCATCCCCCCAAAACCCAGAAGGAAAATGAAAAGGAAAAGGCTGGTAGGCTCGAGGGAAGAGCAGTCACCCTGCAAAAGGACCCATCAGAAGGGCTCATTAGATGCGAGCTCCTCCAGTGCGATGAACTGTCCACTGCAGGCTGCCCTGTGGTGTGGCAGGAAAGAGGACAGCACATGAAGCTGAGGTGCTGGGAGTTAATTCCTAATTTAAGAAATGTTTTATCGATTTTTAGAGAGGTAGGAAGGGAGAGAGGAGAAATATCAGTGGGAGAGAAACATCTATGGCTGCCTCCTGCACGCCCCAATGGGGATCAAGCCTGTAATCTGGGCAAGTGCTGTGATCCGGAATCAAACTGATGACCTCTTAGTGCAGGGGATGATGCTCAACCACTGACTGAGCCATGCAGGCCAGGCAATTCCTATTTCATAATTGCAAGTCAAGCTAAAAACAAAGCTTAACCATGTCTGAAATTATAGTTAGACAATTGGAAATTATTCAATTTTTGAAAAGCTGTTTGTCTCATCTGGCTTTACGTATTTATGTCCATGTGTATCTGCAACATTCAGAGGTGGAGCTGGTCCTTCCTCACTGCAGGGCCTATAGCTTTTAGAAGCTTATTTTTGTGTGTGTGTCTAGAGTTGCACTATAAACAAGACAAAAATCTCTGCCCTCAAACCGCTTACAGAGCAATGGGAAGGACAGATGCATAAATAAGCTTTTAAAAACACGAGAAAAGAATTGCAATGGAGTTTGAACCAGTCTCTGGGGTTTAGAGGGGACAGCTGAGTGTCCTGGAAGGAAATGGCGGGGCAGAGGGGGACGATGGCATGAAAAGGAGGAGTCGGCCAGTCTCCTGGGCTCTGTCTCCCTGCCCTCTCTTGGGCTTGCCCTGCAGCCTGACAGTTTAAATCACTGCTGCCCATGGCCTCCCAGCCAGGCCCTCTCAGCCGAGCTGGCAGATGCCACTGGCTCACTCACCATTCTTCCTTCCACCCACAGCCCCTCAGGGGAAGCCAGACAGTCTGCTTAGACTTAGCTACGTCCTACATTTTAGCTCAGAAACTAGAACTAGGTCAAACAGTTCTTCTTCTCTCATACAAGATCCACTAAAGTACCTTACACAGGTTACCACCACTCAGTAATCTTGGTGAGAGAGTCAATAAATGCATCTCCCAGCTCAGAAAACTCAGCTGCTGGCAGTCACTGAACGGCTCTAAAATTGCTGGGGCCACAGGCCCTGAAACGCAAGCATAGATTACCTTTCGGACCATTTGTACGAAGTCCTTGGAGTTCTGAGGTGACAGGCCCTGAAGCTGGCAGGTACATGCTTCCAGAGAAGATGCATGGGCCACAATCAAGATGTTATTTCCTGGGGGGAAAGCAAGAACTGGGAAGACCATTTTTATCAAGACACACGCAAATGTTGTGGACACTGGGCAGGGGCAGGCATTCTCCGGGACACAACTTGGCCAAGCAATATTTAAGGAATATTTAGTCTTGTGAAGGCAACCTAGTATTATTTTATAGACACCTTAATCATGAAATAACTATAGATTCATAGGAGGTTACAGATGTAGTTTACACACACACATCAAATAACCTTTACACAACATGGGTTTGAATTGTGCAGATCCACTTATGTGCAGGTTTTTCATTAGATGCTGTGCATGATGTTCTTAGTAACATTCTTTTTTTGTAGCTCACTTTACTGTAAGAATAGTATTCATACATAAACAACAAAGTATGTGTTACCCAAAGGCTCAATAAGGCTTCCAGTCAACAGTGGCAATTAGTAAAGCTTTGGGGGATCCCCAGCTGCCTGGAGGCCGGCAGCCCTAACCCTGCGTTATTCAAGGGTGAACTTTTCATGCCATAGGCATCATGTTCTACCTAAGTATGTGCACACTAACATATATTTACATATTGTGTGGCACGCATATTGACTATGTATGCTACACGCGGACGCGCGCACATAGGCAGTGAAGTCCATGCACCCTCCACCAGCAGCCACTTTCCCGGCCAGGAAATGCACATGGCCCAATACACATCGCTCACTTAGTCACACCAGGTGGGCCCAGTTCCATCACGCGCAACGAAACATACAGCGCCCACCTCCCACCCCGACCCAGTGGTTTCATTAAATACTGTGAGTGTGTTTTCCACGTGGCCACACTGAGGCCTTCTGGTTGAGAACACGCTGAGTCTCTTAATGGGAATGAGGTGAGCGAAAACTGAAAGGGGGGAATCACTCATAATACTGTTGACGAGGGATATCCCTTGTTAACATTTTGGTGTGTATAATTCCAGTCTTTGCTCTGTAAAGATTCGTATTTTAACTTGAAAAAAGCGATGAGAATGTATATATTCTTGTGTAACCTGCCTTATTTTGACTAAACATTTTACAGTGAACAACTTTTACATATCATTAAATATTTGAGTTCAGTATTTATAAAATTCAATAGCAAACAGATTTGAGTCTAACAGAACACTCTCTGGCTGGGGGCAGCAGTGACGGGATGTGCATTTGCATAGGGATATTTGTGTGGGGTGTTTACCCACCCAGGTCAAATTATAGGAAAAACAGTGGTTTGCTAAAGAACTTCTAGAAACTGTACTGGGGAACCTCCTCCATCACAGAGTGCAAGAAATATCTAAGTTACTTCATATTAAAACTGAGTCTTGTGCATTCCCATGGTATGCTTACCGTTTCAAGTATTCAAGGGAATGTTACAAACTTAACATGAAAGCATACACAAGAGTCTGGAAATATTTATCAAGCAAGTTAAAACATCTTGACTAGCCTATTAACCATGATGGAGAAACGGTCACATGTTTAAATATGGCGTCCAAAATAGCACCGCTTACCTTTACTTTTACATTCACTTATTATTTCTTTTGTTACTTGGAAACTTCTGCCGATGTAAGTGTCATAGGATTCTGAAACCACTAATTTGCTGACTGGAATGTGAGGTCTGTAATAGAAAATGAACAAAGGCAATAAAACATTTTGCTCCTAAGACAAAGCAATTGATACTACTCTTAAATTTTATTTCAAGACCCTTCTAATGTTCCCATAATTCTGTTTATCCATTTCCCTAGAAGGCAAGGGGTAGAGTACTCCCACGCTTAGTCATGGGGTTGAAATGTACACAATGTACAGAAATAAAGGCTCTGGGTGCACAGTGTCAGAGAGACTAGCTCAAAAGTGATTCAGTGCAGGCTTCACTTGTTACTAGTAAATGACTGATAAGCAGCCTTGGCCAGTTTTACTGACCATCAGTCCCAGGTCATATGGCCAAGAAAAAGTAAAGTGGAGGTTAGATCTTATTACCTATTCAGAGCACCAGATATTTACAATTTTTCGTAGCCTTACAAATAACCCTCAAGGATAGGTTTTATTTCTTAAAATGTTGTTCCAGCTTTATCCTATCCAATAAAAGAGTAATATGCAAATTGACCATACCTTCACCACACCCACCAGCCACACCTGCCAGCCAATCAGAAGCAAATATGCAAATAAACTCAACCAAGATGGCTGCAGCCATTGCTTGGGTTTCCCTGGCAATGGAGGAAGTCAAGCTTTCCGCCTGCCCTTGCCAGCCTAGGGCTCCACTCAGTGCTACAAAGTTTCAATTATAGAAGGTAAACAAATTCCAATAGAAATGGCTGCTGCCTTGGAGCAAGCAGGAGGCTTGGCTCTGCTCCAGGCTACAAAGTTTCAATTATAGAAGATAAATAAAGCCCAGATACCAGGGCCTCCACTTGGGTCACCAGAGGGTGTGGCTGGCCTTCAAACCACCACAGGCCCCTCACCCAGGCCACCCCATACCCCAAGGGAACCCCCACCCTGATCTGGGACACCCTTCAGGCCCCCACCCATACACCAGGCCTCTATCCTATCTAATAAAAGAGTAATATGCAGATTGACCATCACTCCAACACACAAGATGGCTGCCCCATGTGATCAAAGATGGCTGCCCCCATTTGGACACAAGATGGCCACCACAAAATGGCCAGCAGGGGAGAGCAGTTGGGAGGGACCAGGCCTGCAAGGGATGGCAGTTGGGGGCAATCAAGCCACAGGAGAGAGCAATTAGGGGTGATCAGACTGGCAGAGGAGGGAAGTAGGGGGTGACCAGGCCTGTAGGGGAGGGCAGTTGGGTGGGAACCAGGCCCACAGGGTAGAGCAGTTAGGGGCAAGCAGGCGGCATGGGGGCAGTTATGTATCAATCAGGCTGGCAGGGGAGTGGTTAGGGATAATCAGGAAGGCAGGCAGGCAAGCAGTTGGGAGCCAGCAGTTCTGGATTGTGAGAGGGATCCCAGATTGGAGAGGGTGCAAGCTGGGATGAGGGACCCCCCCCCCCCCATGCATGAATTTTGTGCACAGGCCTCTGGTTGGGATATCATTGACATATAACATTGTATAATGTTAGGTGTATGACATGGTGATATAATACACATGTATTGAAAAATGATTTGCATGGTAGCCTTATCTAACATATTCATCATGTAACATAATTACCATCTCTGTTTTTGTAGAGAGAATAATTAAGATGTACTCTTTTAGCAACTTTAAAGTACATAATATCTATTATTAACTACTAGAGGCCTGATGCATGAAAATTCATGCACTGGAGGGGAGGTCCCTCTGCCCCCTCTCACAGTCCAGGAGTCCTCAGGGGTGGAAGGTGACCCAGCGACCAGGGAAAGGCGATGCCCCGTCACACATCTGCTGCTGCCACTGCCAGCAGCACAAGCCTCGGCCAGCCCTAGTTACCTGAGCCTCGAGCAGCCCTGGGTGGCTGGGCAGCCCCCATCCAAGGCTTGCCTGTGCTTGGGCTGGCCCTGGGTGGCTGGAGGGCTTAGAGGACTGGGGGTCTCTGGAGGCAGGCCCTGGGTGGCTGGCAGGGCTGAGGGAACTAGGCGCCACCATCTTGTGGCTGTGGGCACTGCCATCTTTGAGGGTATGATAGTCAATTAACATATTCCATCTTTATTGGCTGTGAGTGCCGCCATCTTTGTGAGAGTATGAGGGTCAATTAGCATATTCCCTCTTTATTAGATAGGATAAGAACATTACAGCCACATACATTAGATCCCTGGATCGTTTTGATCTTGTAACTGGGAGTTTGTGCCCTTTGACCAACATCTCCTGTTTCCCCCCAGGCCTGGTAACCACTGCTCTAGCGTCTGTTTCTGAGTTTGGTGTTTGTAGATTCTACAGAAATTATGTGTTTAGATGTTTCTGAGATCCTGTTTTCCTTTCCTTTGGCTATAGACCAGAAGAGGATTGTTGGATCATCTTGTAGCCTATTTTTAACTTTTTCAGAAGTCTCCATTCTGTTGTCCATAGGTCAGGGACCACCCTATAAAAGGTTCCCTTTTCTTCACATTCTTGCCAAGAGAAGATAGCTTTTGCATTTTGATGATAAGCATTGAATAGGTGTGAGGTGATAACTCATTGTGGCTTTGATTTTCCTTTCATTGATGAGTGATGTCATGTTCTTGTGGACCATTTGTATGACTTCTTTGAAAAAAAGCCTATTCGGTTCTCCCGTCAATTTTTAATCTAAATTTCATTTTTCAATTACAGTTTACATTTACAGTATTATTTTGTATTATTTCAGGTACAGCGTAGTGGTTAGACAATCACATATTTTACAAAGTGGCCGCCTGATATTTCCTGGACCCTTCCTGGCATCGGACACAACTATCACATGTTGTTGACTATATTCCCTGTGCTATCTTTACACCCCCAGGACTGCTCCTGTACATACCAACTTGTACTTCCTGACCCCTTCACCTTTTCACCCATCCCCCAGCCCATCTCCCCTCCGGCAACCACGGCGGGTCTCCGTGTCTATGCGTCTGCTTCCGTTTTGTTTGTTCATTTATTCTGTTCTTCAGATTTCACATATAGGTAAAATTACATGGTATTTGTCTTTTTCTGACTGGCTCATTTTATTTAACATAATACCCTCTGGGTCCATCCATGCTGCCACAAATGGTAAGATTTCATTCTTTTTGTTTTAAGGACAAGTCATATTCCAGAGATGTCTGGGTGGTGCTCAGGACTAGAGAGTAGACCTCTCCTTGCCTTGCCTCCTCCCGCATCAGCACCGGACACACATGTAAGGTCACGGGTAAGTGGCTTCAGTCTGCTTTCCTGACGGGATTGACCTGTCATTTGGGTTTGGAGCCAGGCTCTGGGCTCGTACTGTTCAGCCGGCCTCATGGAAATCCAGCGCTGGTCAGGACAAGTCCCGGGGACCAGGTTCCCTCACCCCCTCTCCTGACGGGGACACCTGTCGTGGAGGGGGGCTCCATCCGTTTTGGGGAACATTAGGGGGAGGCATTTTCTCGGCCGTAACTTCACGGGAAGCAGCCTTAAGCCACTGCCAGTCGCCATGGGGATGGCAGCCGACCGCCCCGCGCCACCCCGGGCTGTCAGCCTGACAGCCTCAGGCCCTGGAGTTCGCGCAGGCCTTCTGGCCTCAGTAACGCTTTCAACTTCCAACCCCGACCGACCTTGACAGTCCCCGCAGGCAGGCAAGTGGTCTGAGGGCCTGTATGTCCAGGCTTTTCCACACTCACATCCTTCTCTCTGTGACGGCTGCTCTCCCTCACAGCTTTTCCTTCTCCACTCAGCCCTCAGGGGATCCCAACTCCTCCTCCTCCTTCACCACTTTGATCTCACCGACCATCCCCGACCCCCAGCTAAGACTCCTCAGGCAGCCTGAGAGCCCACCACCCGCCCCAGCGGATCCCAGCGCCACCACCCCATCTCACACCGGCTCCGGAGCAGCTTTCAGCTCTCTTCCTCCCGATTCCTGCACTAGCCTTAAAGTGCCCCTTGGAGAGACTGCCGGTGCCAATCTGGCTTCATGCCCAGGGCCACACAGATACCCTGGGCCAGCAGGCCCCTGCCCTCCCAGTCAGAGCGGGTGTGTCCGTAATAGGGACCCACAATGGAACTATCAGGAAGGGCAGGCAGGTCGCAGGTCTCAAGACCACAACACTGTTCTCTGCCTAGAAGGACAGGGAAACGCAGCCCACAAAGCAGTTAATTATATAATAAAAAATTAGCAGGTCAACCGGGAAAGACATGAAAATCCAGCAGTCTTCCAATCTCGCCTTACAGAGGCTGAGAAAATACACCAGTCTTGCCCCAACCAGCCCAGAGGGGACAAACCCATGAACGAGACCTTTTAATATATGTTTATTGATTTTTTACAGAGAGGAAGGGAGAGAGATAGAGAGCTAGAAATGTCGATGAGAGAGAAACACCGACCAGCTGCCTCTTGCACACCCCCTACCAGAGATGTATCCGCAACCGAAGTACACGCCCCTGACAAGAATCGAACCTGGGACCAACGCTCTACCCCTGAGCCAAACCGGTTTCGGCCGAACAAGACCTTTTAAACATAACATTTAGGGTCTTTAATAACAGTGACAAGGAGACCCAAATTCAAAAACAAAAGATGAGATCAGGCCAAGGCTGAAGCCTAGACGAAGGACTTCCAGCTCCTAGCCACCACTCTCATGAGTCCCAGTCCTCCAAGCAAGAGTGAATGAGGGCTAATCCTCCTCCGGGCCCTGCTTCAAATGCTACAAGAGAGTTCACCGGGCCAAGTCCTGCCTAAACTGGAGACCCTCGCCTGGGTCCTGCCCAAGGTGCAGGAGGGAAGGCCACTGGAAATCAAACTGTAGTCTGGCCCCTCCAGGTCGGACCTCAGCATGGCCTCCCTCTGGATCCTGTTTGGAGCTCCCAGACCCTTTGGGACTGGCCACCGAAGACTGAAGCTGCCCAGGCCCCGACAGGACCCCACAGGCTTACATCACCAGGACAGAGCCTTGGAGAACCGCTGTGGTGGCAGGTAAGCCCCCCTCCTTTCTAATTAATACTGGGGTCACTGCCCTCTCCAAATTCACTGGGACCCTTGTCCCCTCCTCAGTCTCTATCATGGGGATT